TAGATTCGTGTCCATTGACCCAACCTTTGTTCCAATCCCGTGTGACGTTGTACCAATGTGTTGTGTGTTCGTAGTACATTGCGTAACGTTTCGCGGTTCTATGTTGCAGTAGTGATTTATCCTTGGTGTCCTTCGCGATACCTTGTAGTGTTATACCTTCGTATCACGTAATACAGTAGTTTATATTTCGTCCTAAGCCTTTAAAATACCTATGGAGCAATTCATTAGTAAGAGTGTCATTAATTGGTTTTTTCTGTCAATCAAATTTTCATTTTTGTTGTGTCATAATTGTGTTACAAATTTGATTGTCATATCCTGCAGGTCATAGTTGATCACAATTTAGCAAGTTATATCATTGATCTACATTTCTGTTTTTCATTGTTGCCATGTGTTGTGCACGTTTCAATTATTGTTATCAAGTGTTGTCATTGTTCATTGTTGTTGTCATGTGTTGTCATTGTTATTACCATATGGTGTTATTGTTGCCATATATTGTTATTGTTGTAATCATGTGTTGTAGCCTTTTTCAATTACCCCAAAAATTATTGATTGATGCAAAAATTCCAAGAATTTTTGTATTTATTGCACAGTGTCCTGATGAAAAATTTTTCCAATAATTCATCACAATTATTACCAAGAAACTTCAAGAAAAATGCCTCGCATCAACAGAATGATCTGTGCTGCTCAACACCCAGATGCTATGATTGGATGTATCATTATCCTCCAAGAACAAATAAAGATCCTTCATCGGTCCATTGCTACCTGTGATTATCCTGAACATCAAGAACCCTTGGTGAAATTGCTAGAGCAATTGACAGAACTCCAAAAGAAGATTTTCAAACTGCGTGCCCAATATGAAGAATACAAGAGAATCCTGTCCACTGTCAGGGTGAAAGACCAGAAAGTTATTACCAAGCATGCACAGAGAATCAAGACTCTCCTGAAAGAGAATGTCGATAAACTCCATTGTAGGTTAATCCAGGAAGAGATCTTGAGACAAAAGATAACCTCCCTGCATGACCATGTGGACAAGTTGAAAGTGGGATTAGAGAAAGGGTTTGAAGAATTTCCCAGCAAGCGGTTGGATCCTTGGATTGTGGATACCAAAGAGTCCTTTCAAGTGGGTGTTAAATGAAATCTGGGTCTTCATGAATCCTGATGCAGATCCTGGGCAAGATTCTAACAATTTTGAGTGGCGCATTCCTGGTGGTAACCTTCTTAATCCTGTACCTGAGGATGAGAGTCGTCTCCCAAATGTAGAAGTATCAGAGAATGAATAAAGCTGTTGTGTTTTGTGTTGTCCTGTATTAATGTTGTACCAAATCACTGTGATGCTCTGTGAGCCAGTGACAAAATGACAATGTGGTGATGCTCTGTGGGCCCTTGTTGTCATACTAACATCAATTTCAGAATTTTCAAACCACAAGATTCATTATACAATTGGGTATACTCACGCAAAAAAGATAAGTATAACACCAATATATATAAAGCAATCAATTATAAAATAATATTAATCACTTTGGTAATTTCATAAAATGCTATAGCCTCAAACATCATCCTACAAATAGGTGAAACCTAGATGTTACATGACTGACCAGCCCTTAACCAGCATATGCAAGGTCGTCGACAGCTATGTAGTGGCTTTATGAAATTACTCAAGCAAATAATAATATTTTATCCTTGTGGATGGCAACCCTGGTGTAGATCCCTGTGGTCGCCGTATCATTAAAAAAGCTACCTTCGTGGAACCTTCATAGATTCTTTGACGAATTTTTGATAAGTTCTTTTTTAGAGAAAACCTTAAGAGACCTTCATTATGTGTTTGTAAAACCTCGTATAACCTTATAAATCCTTTTTTGTGAAACCTGGTGTAACCTTTAGACGTGGCCTTCCCTTTGACCTGTTGTGTAACCTTTGTGATACGGTTGTGTTTCCTTTGCGATACGGTTGTATTTCCTTTGCGATGCCCTTTTAAATGATCTCAAGTTTGTTCCACGTAACCTTCATATACCTTTGGAGATCTTTGTGTGACCTTGGGCGAACCTTCGTGAGACATGGGAGTGGTAGAGGCGAAGAAGAAAGAAGAAAATTATCCAAGAAGAGAGAAGAAAAAAGAATTTCCTTTAAAGAAGCAAGAAAAATTCAAGAAAGAAGAAAAGAAGAGAAATGAAAGAAGCATCCGCTGCTACCAAATGTAACATTTAATGTGTAGGAACATTATAATGTTAGGATTAATAAAGGAAAACTTTATTAAATATGAGAGAAACCAGACAACTCTGTTATTTCCC